AAACAGTTGTCTTGGTTTTAGCCAAAAAAAAAAAAAAATTCTCTATAGGTGATAAAAAGTAAGAGGTTATTTGGAGGTTAGGTTGTTAGTGGCTGCGGCTAAGACATAATGATAAATATTTGCTGTATCTTCATCTGGTGACCAACTGCTGCTTTTCTGCAGCAGACTTTGCAATTTCTTAGACAGCTGTTGATTTTTTTTGAATCAGGATCCATTGGTTTCTTTCTTCTTCTGGGACATGAGAAATATTTGATCACCACCACAATAAGTGTGGTCAATCCAAGACAATCACAGGATAGAATATCAGTCTTGACATGTAGGTCAAAGTCAGGACGAGATAAGCTAAGAGGATTGAATTAGCAATGGCCCATGAGGTGGCAAAGGTAATGTTGAAATCTATCAGTATTTATGCTGAAATCTCTCAAAAAGCTAAATCCATTATCAACAAGGTATCAATGAACTCCTCTTGGAATACTTTATAAAAGATGATCCATAACTAGGTACAATTATTTCAAATTAAGTTTTCATATCCAGAGAGGTTTTTTGTGTGTGTAAATATATATTTTATAACAGTAACATCATAGATGTAGAGTTAACTGCAGAACTATTTACAAGGCTGCTGATTTAAGCACAGACATCAGATAAACTTATTTTCTCAGGAATTTGACAGTAACATTAGCAAACTCTAACGTAATGAAATTTGGAGATAAGAACATAAACCAGATCTCATGCTACGGAAGAAAATGACAACAATATGTAGAATAACAGTGAAAATGCTGGAAAAGAATAAAAAAGAACAGAAATGACACGAAACTTCAGAAAAGAAAGAAAAAAATAAAGAGTTGAGGATAATTCACGAGTAACTTCACTACAAAAAATGTCAATCTGCTAATGCATACCATTTGGATATCCAAGAAAACAAGATTGGAGTATCCCCTTTTAGAGGCCTCTAGTGAACTGCAAGCTCAGAAATATAGAGCAGACTGGCAGAAGGAAGAAGAAACCAAAGATATGCTGGTGCATCTAATTCAGGCTTGTCAGCTTTGGTAATGACATATTTTAAACCCAAGAAATTCTCTTCCTGAAAAGAAAAAAAAAAAAAAAATACTTTCTTCTAACAGCAATCTTATCTTGGTAGAACCTAGAAGTGATATTGTATCTATATATGCAACGATATATAGATATAGCAATTATGCCTTCTTCATTACTGCATAAATGTTACTTAACAACAATCACAAAATCTGTTTTTGGTGAAAAGTGAAGTGAAGGAGCTTTTCTCATAACAAGAAATAACTGTTCTTGTATTTATACATAGAATCTGAGAAGAGCAGGTGATTAATCATACTCCAGCCTGTATCTCTATGTGTGTGCCATTTTATTTTGACACCAGATGGAAGGGGTTTCATATCTGTTCCTCCTTCCTTCTTCCAGTAGCCAAATTCAAAGATGACACTAGTTGTATGAATACTTTATTACACGGAGGAGGGAAGTTTTAGGAATCACAAAATCAGTTTCCCAGAAGTACTCTAGCATACATGCTAACAGATAGACCAACTCTAAGAACAGGACATCACTGTCAACAGCAGTAAGGTGTATGATTCTGGTGACAGTCATATTAAGAAGGTACTTGCATCTTTATTCAATTCAGTGCACTGAGGTAATGTGACAAATAACATAAAAACGCAAATTAAATCATTATATAACTTCCTATAGAAGTCTATTTAGTAGAATTCCCATCACTAAATGCTGAAACTGAAGATATTTGTATGATGCTCAGGAGAGGTTATGAGAAGTTAAGTGAGCACGGTATAATTTGCACTGCAACAATACAGTATTGCATTATTTTTTCATTCATACAAACTATAATGATTTAGCAGACAGTCTCTACCAGAACCAATAGCACCGTTGTATCAATTTCTTAGAAAATAGCCGTTTGTATTTGTATTGAAGATGCTGCAGTAATTTTTTTACACACTGATAAGCTAACAAATTTTGCTCTAAGTTACCATCTGGCTGGATCAATTCCAAGAACCCGATTTTCTAGGCACATATCAGTGCACGGTAAGTAGGAATGCACTGATAGCTGTCAGGTAGTTCTAAATAGTCGTCTAAGGTAATTTCAGGATATACCATATGCAGAGAGTCTCTCAGTTTCTTCTACCATTCTTTAGCATTTCCTCTCTGCTTCTAAACTGCCTCTCCTGCTTTGATTCCTTTACTGGGAACAGGTGAGGATGGTTTGGAAGAAAAAGATTTTTTTGCCGCTTCGATAATTTAAAAGTGAAACTACAAAGAGATCCCTTTTGAACGTGTGTGAAAAACTCCTTCACGGAAATATTATTTTTTCTCAAAGTAAATTTTGCATTACAAAAGAAATTTTTCTATTATATATGCACATATTTATGGTTAACTTTGTGGGGCACATTTACTAAAGCTATCCATGTAATCTTTCATTATTAAAGCAGCTTCTAGCATTAGACACTGTTTTAAAAAAAATCGCACGCTTTTTACCTTATCACAAAGAGAGATTTGAAATTGGAAGGTGTTTTTCATTTGAAATTGATTCTTTATCTTCTGCTTTGGGGGAAAACCAGATATTTTTCAGAAGAAAAAGAAGAAAATGAAATAATCTGATCATCTATAACTATCCAACATGTAATTTTGCCCAAATAAAAGACATTTATCTTTCTAATTTTTTTAATTCATATTTAGTTAAAAAATATTCTTTTATTCATCTGTGTCTGACATATCTTGTGAGGGCATTGGTGTAATTTTGCTTTTACTTGAAAGCCTGCAGGTTAGGAGCTACAGTTTTCTCACTCTTTTGAAGAATAAATATTTCATTGATATACTAAGAATTTATGTGCATTTTCTGCATTTTTTTAAACTATTAATCATCTGTTGTGAGAAAACAGAAAGCAGACAATATTTTTCCTCCAAAAGCCATCCTATTATATGATGTCTCATTAATAAAGGGTAGTGTCTCCTCTGCAAAATAATCTGTGAGTGATATCCCATATAAATGTAAAAATTTCACACAGCGGTCAAGCTGGAAAAACATTCAGATTAGCATTTTAAAAAAAGGTACCAGAAAATATGAAAAATATAAAATGGTGTCCACGTATATTGTATACAGAGTATAAAAATTAACTTATATTTTCCATAGCACTTGCTGTATTTTGTTTGTTTGCATGTGTCACATGTTAAGTGAAATCCATTCTATTTCTGCCTGATGTTGTCTTTTGCAATTTTCTTTTCCTCTCTTTTTGTGTGAATTAAAGGGAAGGTTTATTAGACTTTTAGTAGTTTGTTATTGTTAGAGTGTACTTCTTTGAACAATTTTTCTAAGTGAATTAGGATCCTTTACTCTTCATAATGAACTTTTTGAAAATTCAAGGGGAAACAGCATGTTGTATTTGTTTCTGCATGCAGTAACTCTCATATTTTAGTGGACCTTTTGAACATCTGTCAATTTGTTTTCCATCTCTTTTAGGCTAAATGTCAAGTGCTACTTTCTGAAATGAGGTATTGCAAAATGAGGAGTATTTATCATAGAGCCACTATTACCTTTGAAATGTGTAGTGAGTTTTTGTTAAACTTTAAAAAGTCAGATGAACCCATTCTGGATAAAAGAAAACATACACATATATATATACTGAAAGACTGTGGCCCTGTATATAGAATGTTTTAAAAAGATCTGGAAACTTTACTGGACTGATTGTGGTAAAACACTGACTCTGTTAAATTTCTTTTGCTTTAGTTGAATAAACCGTGTATTTTACTCTCTCCCCTTTAGTATGCTGCATATAACAATAAGAGCCTTATAGATATGTGCAGTTCCCAAACTTATTTTCAGGTGTCTCCATATGTTGTTATGAAAGCATAATTTAAGAACAGGAAAGAAATATACATAAATTAAATGAGAAGCCAGAGGGGCGGGGGGAGAGAAAAAGAAAAAAAAAAAAAAAGAAAGAAACATCTGCAGGGCAACAGTGTGAAAAAATGTTTAAGCTGCCTGTTATTAACTGCTCAGCCTGTTTTACGCTGGATTCCTGCATAATTATGTTACAGAGGAGGGGGAAATAACAGATGTTGGATAAAGATTGAAAATAAGGAAATGAGAGTGTTCGAAATAAAAAATAAATAAAAAGTAGCTAAGGTTGCTCTCAGCTAGACATTTTTGGCAAGACTTTTAGACAGCAATCTATTTCTCAAATTCATTGCCCGTTTCTGCAAGATTACTGTAAAATAAAATGTTTCTTTTTAAGTCTGATCAGCTGACCAATTATACAGCTTCGATAATCCCCAGTTCAGTCTTTTAGAAAGCAGTTAAATGTTTTTTTCAAGCAGTTTCATAAAGTAGATTACATGAATATGATATCAGATCAGAAACCCTATGAGCACTTTCTATGGGAGGTGTTTTGATAGTTTATGAATTAGCTGTTTTTTTAATACATTACAAATATCTAAATAATCCATAGAAGATGCATTTTTTTTTCAATCTTTGTGAAGTGAATGCCACTAAACCTGAACCACATCTGTTCCCTGTCCCATATTTTCCACCATGTTTTAAAGCAAATTGGACTATCATACTTTTTAAGAAAGACCAATTTTTTTTTCTCTGCTTAGTCAATATTTTCTGGCACTGAGTTTGAATACATTATAAAATTGCTGTCAAGCCAGAGCTACCCAAAAAAGGGTTGCAAAATCCATGCAGAGTTACTACATTTAAAAAAAACCTTCTCCCTCTTACCCATAGGGAATTATTTGTCTCAATGAGAATCATTTCTGTATAGGCCCCGCAGGTTAGGCCACTGGTCCTCAACTAAAAGTACAGTGTCCTTTAATAACACTGCTGCCATACTATTTCAGAGATGGCCACTCACAAGGTTAAGATAAAAGCAGAGGCTGTTTTGGAAGAGGAATTCAGATCCAAAGTGAATCCTTTTCCTAATGTTTTAATTTTCTGCTTGTTAACTAAAAATATTTTATTTTTCAAGCATTCCCGACTTTGCTTTCCTTTGCTATCCTCACCCTACATACCATCACAAGTAGACTTCAGTCTGTTGAGCTGCTTCTTCCAGGTGAGCAAATACTTCATCTGCTAGCTGTCTTCTCTTGTGATCCAAATTTTACACATGAGATTATAAAGCTATGTAGGTTCTTTTCTTTTCCTAAGTTTGCAGCTCAGAACTTGATAGACTGTGTTATTTCTTGAAGGGCTTACAAGTAATCTGATGAAGCTGCAGATTTGTATTCATTTTGTATTCAAAGGAGTTGGACTGAAATTTAATTTGAAAAATATTCAAAATTAAATCACTGTCTTATTCTATTTGTTTTCGTCCTGATAGAGCTTCTAAAATAAAATATGCCATTCCGAAGGCATCAGGAATTGTGAAAGAAATGAAAATGTGAGCTTGTATGACTTGGGGTGTGTGGTGTGTGCATGTACTTTTTCTAGGTACTTTCTTATTACAGATGCTCATTGTAATTGCAAGTGAATATGAGTAGCTCAGCGCTATACTATATTTAATACTGCAACTATGTGATTACTACCAATCTCCGTAGGAACGTGTGGTTCACAAGTACCAGCAGCTTGATGGATCTGTCTGTGGAATCAGAACAAATCTTTCTTATGATTCATTTTTGCCACAGATAAGCCATAAAACCAAGACAGTAGATTGATGGAGGTTTAGGTTTTCTGCTCTTGTTTTAAACAGTAGATGTAGAACAGGTTCTTATATTTTATAGCCTGAAGCTGAACTGTCAACATAAAAGATGTACGGGCTTAATATCTGTGAGCTGGGCAGAATAATTTCTTCCTACTTTTTTTAGAGCAGATTAAGCACCACACAATATAGCTCATTACTGCTTAGTGTAAATTTATTGAAGAGGTAGTTTTTGCTAAAGTGCATGAAATACTTTGTCTAGTTATTACCTGCTTTACTGCAAGACCCAGATATCAGCTGAGAAAGATTTTTGTTGAAAACCTGGTCTACTACTACTGTTAGAATTTTATATCTGACCAAAATACATCAAGTTTGAAACATTATTTCTGCTTTTTGCCTGTGTCAGTGTGTATGTCTGACTCAATGAGACTCAGTGTCTCACTTGGTGTCATGTAATTGTTGTCAGCATACAATTTTTGGTTTATTAAGTCTATACTTGATGAAGAAAATAAAAACAGACTTGTTTATAATATATAAAGTAAAATAACAAAAAATGATAGTCATTCGTGTTTTGTCCAGCTTTGGAGATTCTTCCATTTTTTTTTAGTTTGGGATACTTTTAATTAATGAAAAAGTAAAATTGTCGACAGTTCAGAAATCCTTTTGTCAAGTATCAAAAAGCTATTGTATCACACATTTTGAAGGAGGAAGAGAGGAATAGAAACATAAACAAATGAGAAGAAAAATAATAAAAGAAACAAAAAAACAAGGAATAGAAAAAAGGAATAAAATTAAAAAAAAATTTACATATTTCACAATAGTTTAAATTTCATGCAAGCTAACATTGTTTTAAAAGTAAATATTTATCCTCTTCATCAATATTGACATATTTATTTTCTGGAATGGCAGATCTTCTAGATGTGCATGGGATAAAACGTCCTGCTGTCTTCATTCATGCCCACCTCTGTTTGGATAAGTCCCTGAGAGGTGTGGAACAACATAAGTTAGGATTTAGCTAGATTCCAATTTGATGGACATCTTTAAAAATTCATCACACTTTTTTTCACAAAGCTAAATTGTTTCTTAGTCTTATATTATGGAATTGTTTACACCTGTATATTTTCACTATATATTTCTAGCAGAATCAAAATTGGAAAAAGCTACCTGAAAGGAAAAATGTCATGCTGAAATACCTTCTTGCTTAGAACTTGCTGGAGATAAAACTTCCTTTGCATTACATAGGATTTTCTTTCAATTTTGCTTAATACCAGTTAAAAAAAAAAGAGGGGGGAAAAAAAACCTTTACAGAGCTAAGCTTAACCACAACCATTTAGCAAAGTGATAAGTTAAGCTTGCAGGGATTTGTGATTGAGTGAGGGAAAGAAACTCTTCTAAAAGGTAAACTGGGCCTTTTCTATAATCACTGCATTTTTTGGATGCTTTTAAAAGGATTTTGCCCTCAAGCAAGGCGAGTATATACCAGACACTCTCTCTTGCTGTGTGTGTTTGCCTACATGTATCATATGTGCATACTTAAAAATTGTTGTTTGTGCTTTGGAGTTTTTCAGAATGACCTATTAATAAATATTCTTTTTTAAATGATTTTTTTCCCCTGCTCGTGTAGAAAAAGGTATGCTCTGAGTTGCTAGGTTTAGATTTTGTTTTACCTTGACATATTTTCCATAGTGAAAATTTTACCTGAATATTTATATTCATAAATTTCCCTTCTTTCTATGAACTGATCTTGGATGCTACTGAAAGTAATACTCCAATAAGTGGCATCTAAATTATTGCGATATAAAGGTTTATTATACAGTGCAAGCCGGAAAATGGTAAATCTAAACTTGCATTCAGATTTAGAGAAACAGTTCTTAGCAGAAGTATTGTCTGAATTTTTGCTTTTATGATCTTTATGATCTGATAGAAATGTCTTGGCATCTTATGGCTAGTTTTGTCCTGTTATCTCTTGAAACTTCTGCTTTCTTGACCTTTACTCACACATTAAAAGTAGAAGAACTAATCTACTTGGTTTTGAAAGTATCACGAGTTGATCTGTACATGAATTACTCTTATGGAAGAGGTGGAAATATAATCAAGCTAACATTAAATCAGTTATTTCTTGGCTGCTGTTGGAGGATATGGGTTTCATTAATCATGTGCAAATGTGTTGTTGTGTGATGTAACACAGCTGGGCACAACAAGCTGGAGCATGTCTTCCAAGAAATTTCAAAACAGTTTTCTTGAAAACCGCTGTGAAAGAAATAGCAGATTTTTTGTAGAAAGACTGATTAATGAAAATAAGTCTTTCCTAGCACAGAAACAAAAATAATCCAACTAGACATCAGCTCTGCTGCTCTTCTCATAACCACTGCCAAGATTTTGTGTAAAATATATTTCCACTCTAGGTATGGAAGGCTAATAATGTTATAGTTAGGACAGAGAACTAAGCATTTTCAAATATTTCTATCTAAAGGTGTAACCAACGTCTGTAATTAAACACTTCGAGCAGAATTTTGGCCCAAATTCATACCGCTAACTGTAGCAATGGGATTCAGCTCGACTGCACATATCTCTATGAAGGTGAAATTCTATTGACTCTATTAAATATTTCTTTATTTACTGTAATGAGGACTTAGACCCCTATCTGTCTTATGGACACTTAAGTATCAGAATAGGGAGCTATGTCCCACTTCAATTCCTTAGTTAAGTAAAAATGTGTGACATCTGTCTGTGTGAACAGCACAAAGTAGTATTGCATGGTAAGTGGAAATGTCTGAGTATATTCAGTACCAGAAGCAATCTGGACACATTAGTGAAGCTTTCTGCTCATGCTAAGATAAGCTGCTTCTCAACCAGATGTTATTTAAGCATATTTTACTATGTTTAGCCTCAGAAGCTCATATTTAAAAAAAAAAAAAAAGGCAAATAAGTTTATTGTAGCATTAATGAACTGCTAGGTGCTTTCCAGATATTTGAGAAGAAGTCCTATGAAGGCAGCTCAAAATATGTCAACAACAGTTGTGGAAAAAAGACCAAGTTAAATCTGATATTGTAGAGGCATTTTCAAGTTGTTTAGGAACATCTTAATGAAATTACAGTGTGTGTGTCTGCCTGTTTCCTTGATTATCAGCCAGTAACTTTTAAACCACTATCCACCCAAATTTTACAGAGGGACACAGGCACCAGAAATTAATTTTTCACTTATATTGCACACCTATATGGTCTGTTATAACAGTCTATTTCCACAAAGTTTGTGAAAATTTATGTCACATATTATTAGACACTTGAGACTTCTAACTGAAGAAAACCTTTATAAACGCTTCAGTTACCAGGAAAGCTTCAAGCAGATTTTTTACCTTCCAAGACATGTTAGTCAATAACAGTACAAAAATTTGCAGGAAAAAAGCCTTCATTAGTTGCATGCGTCTTTGGAACTATATGTTATTGTAAGCACATTGCCTTTGAAGACAGTACAACAGAATCAGGTCTACTTAACAGAACTAAGTACGGGAAGAGTAAACGCCTTGTAGAGAAGCTCAAAGAGCACAAAACTGTCATGAGCTGGGATATTGCTGGAATGAACATAATAACAAGCCAGAGAATGAGCAAAGAACTGTTTAGAGATTTGAAGAATCTTAAACTTTCCTTTGGTAGTAGATGAATAGTCAGAAGAAGGATTTCAAGTTGCGGGTGAAATTACTCCCCAAAAGTCAGGGAAAAACAAGCTGACTTCTGAGGCTGTTGAGAGGCTGATGAGACATTTGATTTGCAAATACTGAAAGAATATATATGTATTTAATGCAGGGGGGAGTTATCTTTTTCTTTCCCTTCTCAAACACTTTATGCGGATGATTTGTATTCAGAGGAATAAATAGAGAGAGCTAACAGCTCCTTAGCTTCTCCTGATCTGCTCTGTGATCTGAGTCACAGATTCTGCATGCCACTGGGAGGTCTCCATAAGAGTTAGGGAAAATACAAACAACATCAATACGTTTTGAGACCTCTACAGATTTTAGTCAGTATATAAGAGATAAGCAGGTGGTTCTTGGTGTAGTTATTAACCACTCACAGTTATCACCAGTTGTATTCATAGGATAAGACACATATTTACAATATAATCAGATTACAATATATGTTACATGTTTTCTTTGTAATGCTTTATAACTTCTTGTTAAGTTATCCTCTTTGTGCAATTCTTTACCTGCTTTCACTCAAATATCTCTAAAGCTGCTGGTTAAGAGAAAGCATTTTAATAGCTGTCCTTGTATTTTAGGATGAATGTATTGTGGATATAGAACTGTATTCACACTCCTTACAGTCACCTCTTTTCACCTGTTTGTGCAGTGAACACCTCCAGCTTGTTGTCAATGCACTTGATTGCAACGTAAGAGGTTTACAGAGTCAAAGCTAGTCTT